ATGCAAAATGCAATATTGATTTTAACTAGAAAGTATCGCATATCACATACACGTATTTATGTTATATGGAAATTTGCAGATATGGTAAATAATTAGTACAAATGTTTACACATATTAAAAAATTTTTAAATATTCTGAAGCATACACAAATATTTCGAAACATTTCGAAACATATCAATATATATCAAGTTATAGCAAAATGTTTCGAAAATTTTCTTTATTTTTTTAATAGTTCATAAACAATAAAAATATTCTGATATGGGTCATATTCATAAAGAATATTATAGTGCTAATGCAAAATATTTATCAGATGAGACCATCAAAGACATTAAAACATCATTCGGTAGGGTACCTGATACCATAAATACAATGGCAAAAAAATATCGTATATCTGTTTCTTGAGCCAAAGAATATATTGAGAATCAGGAATGTAAACAGCAAATGATAGATTCTTATTCATCTCAGGTACAAAGTACAATTTCTTCCAAAATAATATCTGTATCTCTAGATCCAAAGGGTCATTGCTTCGTAATAAATAATCAATTAGAAGATAACTATATACCTTTATTACAGAGCAGGCCATTAGGTGATGAATCAGAAATTCGAGACTCTGTCTCTTCTTTGAATCATAACTCTTCGAGCTTACACACTTCAGTTAAAACTCCAAATCAACAGATAAAAAAGAAGCGACCAAAACCCAAATCTATTCGAGTTTTCGATTTATTCACTATTAGTGATACCCAAGTTAAAGAAGTATTAAATGAGGAAGAGAAATGAATAGAAAGATCAGATCACATATTAAATAGTCACTCTGTGTCTATCACCAGCAATTCTTAATCATTTTCTCTTTATTCATAGTTTCGTATTTTGATTGTAAAAGTCTGTTACGAATATTAAGCTTGGTAATAATTTTGATAGCCCTCTCACAATTTACGCATTTTTTTTAAAGTCAAATTATCAGAATCTAAGCTAAAACCTGCAGGAGCATGCCATTTCTCCAATAATTCATTATCCTCACTCTCATTAGTATTGATATCCTGTGAAATTTGATCAGATACCAAAGGCTTATTGCAAAGCAATGGAACTCTGTCCCTATCATCTTGAGATGCAGTAGCGCAATTTACTTCGAGCTTATTCTTGACTTTATGCATAGTTACTAGAATAATGTGATTCTTTCCATTGAAAGGAATTTTCAATTCATCTTTCCCCCAATCTATAGCACATTTATATTTCTTGAGAAGTGGGTTTGGAAATATCAATGTTGATTTAGGGACACGTACAACTACAAAATCTTTATGTATAGTAAAACCTAGAGGGAATGTTATTGGAAAATTACGAGCAATACTAATAGATTCTGTTGGAACTGTAGCAACCCCACTAAGATCATATTTTTCTGATTTATCAATTGATCAATTTACACGTTTAACAATATCTTCTGATGTAATTGGAGGTTTAGCTCCACTATCAAGACACATTGCTGGAATTTTTAAGCGCTTAATTTTAACTGGTATAGTTGCAAGGCTTGTGGTAGATTCCTTTCTTCGAACAAAATCTATCTCTATAAGATCATTTAACATTTCCTCTTCTCTATCTGAATCAGGTATTTCTGGAACTGGCTCTTGATAATTTATAAAGTCAGGTTTTGCAGGCCCTTTAGGGACGACTCTTCAAGTTATAGACAAATTTGTATTATTAATATTGTTTTTAATCATTTCTATAACCTCTGGATCATTAAACATATCTAGAATAATTTTTCAAATTTGTGAGTTGATAATCATACCTAATTTCTTTTGCATTTTTTGTGAAGAACATTTCTTTGAACTAGACTTTTTAGATAATGATTTATCCGATTTAGCCTTCTGCTTTACTTTTTTTTTGATTTAACAGCATTGACAGCATTGATAATTTTCACAATTTCAGCTTCAGTAAAGTCATTCT